TGCGATGGAAGTGAAGAAGCTATAGAGGAGTCTCACAAACCAGCCAATTCTATAGCGTCAGCATACAGATTACTCACTCCGTCAGTCAAAGTATGTATGTTAACTCCCGTGTTTACAATCAGATACTATATATAAACACGAGCATTAACAAAGTTGTATGATGGATGGCTGCAGGTTCAACTGTTGATTTACTTCATGTTGAAATACGCTATGGAGATTTTACTTTCTGAATCTAGTGTCGTTACTACATATTACTTTCATTGGTCGACTGGTAGAGTGGCCATTTTTCTTGCGTGTCTTGGCCTAACTGTTCTGCCAGTTAACGTTGTTGTTGGAAGTTACATTAGCAACATGTTTGAGGACAGGTGAGAAAGGAATCACTTCTACCTCGTTCAAACCGGGATCCTCTCCTTATTCCCATGGCGTTATGATAAGTATTTACTTATTACTTGGTTGAATTGCAGGCAAATCTTGTTGGTGTCTGAAATTATGGTTTGCGTGGGTATTCTCCTTAGCTTTCAAGTATTAGTCCCATATTCGGTGCCACAATATGTTGTCTCGGGGCTCATTATGTTTGTATCTGCAGAAGTATTGGAAGGTAAAACACATCGATCTGATCTTCTCCTCTCTGCTCATTATATGTACTATAACACATTATATTTGTCGGATCCTTAATTAGGTGTGAATCTGTCGCTCCTGTCTCGAGTGATGTCTTCCCGGCTGTCACGAGGAACCTACAATGGCGGGCTGCTGTCCACAGAAGCTGGCACGATTGCTCGAGTTATCGCTGATGGCACTATAACCTTAGCGGGATATCTGGGTGAGAGTAGGCTCTTGAATGTCACTCTCCTTCCTTCACTTCTCATCTGCATAGGTTCCATTATTGCCACCTGCCTTACCTACAATTCCTTGTATTGATTTGGTATTCACAACAATTCATCTCAATTCTATTCTTTTCATTTCTTCCTGCTTTTAGGCTCATTCATTTGTATATTTGATTTTTGGGAACTTGTACAACATTGTACAATACAAAAAGACAATAATGTTATAGTTTGGGCACAAGTATATGAACATGGATTATTGTTAAGGTGTTAACTTCTTTCAACATCAAGAAGCTGCTGCTAGTGCTGGACATCCTTTTCCCCATTCCAATTCTCTTTTTGTCATATTTCTTGCTTTTTTATTCTTTTCTTTCAACCTTACCATCATTAAAAAATCTTATAACATTCCAACCAACTTTATGTTTTTGGCATCATTATGTACTTTACACTATTCCATGCAACTTCCTCTGTCTTCATCGTATATCTATATTATATTGTATAATATTCCTTGCAACTCTATTTTTGGTCATCATGCTTATATCAGGGACGAATCTAGAAAATCATTTCAGTAATGGTGAAGTTTAAATGACGTTAGCCGGTGATTATTGCTGGAAAGGTCACTAGAATCCTAGATAATCTATCTATAATTATAGGTTACCAACCAATTTCTGGACTTCAATGCTTTTAAATAACATGTTTATAAGTTTAATTGCAACTTTTAAAAATTTAAGAGCTTAATAGACTTTTCGAGTAAAGTTCAAAAGTCTATTTAACTATTTTTTCTAAATAAATAATATTACTCTCTAGGCCGGGCATCAAACTTCTCCACCCAAAAGTAGGGTAATCCTCACATGATGTTTTTTTGGTTTGTTTTGTGGGTCAGCATGGGACCTGTGCCCTACGCAATTTCCGAGTTGACTGGGTCAACTCAATCTTCTCCACCGAATGCTATTGACGTCCATGTGCGATGTGATATTCATTTTAGTTCCTCCAGCTATTAACTGTATACTCCGTGATAATATTGCAATAATTTTACTTTATGTTTTGTGAGATTATACTCTTCCATTTATTTTTATTTTTTTTATAAAATGAAAACCATATGTAATATAATAAATTAAATTGTTTTTTATACTATATATCGTATTAAGTATAATAACTTTCTTGTTGTGAATTCTGCTTTACTTACTTAGGACATTATTATGACAACAATTGGCATTATCGTATAAACTTTCTAGAGAAAACTGTTTTGCAATTAATGAGCTGGGATAGAAAAGACAAAACAACTATGTATTAACTAACTATTCTATATATTTTATAGGGAAAATGACACTTTTTTCCCCTGAGTTATATACTTATAGCACTTTTCCCCCCTGAATTATTTAAGTGGCTCTTTTCCCCCCTAAAATGTTAAATGGACATATTTACCCTTAAAATAAATATTTAAAATAAATATTTCATTTATTTTTCTTCTCCAACAAATTATTACTATAATTTGGTTCAAACCAAACAGATATTATAGCAACCAAACCAAAATATTCCAATTACAATTTAGAATCAAAACGCGATATTTAGAGTTTATTAAAATCGCAAATCGAAATGGCCGGTTCATGTTTCGAACTGAAAAAATAAAATACATTTATTGTTGAATTTAGACTATTTTAAAATAAAAAATAAAATAAAATTTAAAATAAAGACGGTTCAAAATCACGAACCGGATCCGAAACCGCCAGTTCACGGTTCATGATCCAGTTTTTTTGGTTCATAAATTTAATAAATTGAAATCTAAATATTGGATTCTAGATTTGAATCATAACCGGAAATTTTTAATTCGATTGCTATAGTGTCCGGTTCAGTTCGAACCGAACCGTGGTCATTGCTACATATACACAATAATTTGTTGGAGAAGTAAAATAAATAAAATATTTACTTTAAGGGTAGAAATGTCAATTTAATATATCAGGGGGAAAAACTACCACTTTTAAAATAATTGAGGGGGCTAATGTGCTTACATAAATAATTGAGGGGGAAAAAGTGCTATAAATATATAACTTAGGAGGAAAAAGTGCCATTTTCCCTATTTTATATTCATATTCATATATATGGGCAAAAGATTCTTTTGCACCTTAATTGTAGGGAGAGAATAAACATAAATATGTTGATCACCATTAACATATATAATAGACTTTAATTTAAAGACCTGTGTGAGTGAATACTACCTAATTTATGTAACTCGGCCAAAAGCTTGCGCATAAATATAAATTCAACTACTCATAATAAAAATGTAATTCAATAGAGATAGTCACGACTAACAAATTTTAAAAAATTTCAAACTTAATTATTGTGGGACCGCTATGTATAAAGTAGCTAAACAACATTGTTTCATGCTAAGATTTGAGGTTCATGGCATGAAAACAAAATTTGGATTATCAAGAAGGGATGACTGCCAAGCACCTTGTGCTCAGATGATATGTAGTGACATCTCTCATATGGGAGGTCATGAGATCAATTCCTTATAGATACAACAATGTGATAAAGTAGCATTGGGATGACTGCATGCAAGTCATAGATAGAGGGTGAAGACGACCATTCTTGTGATATCTAATTGCCGGCCACTAGACAAACTTTTCTTTGCCTTTTTGTGATTGTTTTGTAGTCCTTTGTGCATCAATATAATGACCCATACAACCAACACTCCACCCATACCATATAATCAATGAAAGTCATGTGTGCCTATTCAAGGTTTAATTTTAGTGTGATTGCCTGACCCACATGAAGTGACACACGACATGTGAAACACCATACACCTCACTTTCATTCCTTCCACAAACAATATTATTTTTTTTAAAAGTCAAGGTGCAACAATCCCGGAGTTGCAGTAATACGAATCGAGTTAGTCAGATTGTTAACTTAATAATTACAAAGTTTTAAGTTTAACTCTCAGTCGGAGAGCTATGGACAATCATAGGCTAGTTGATTTACATCATTTGATCATTTGTTAACTAGAGTCACAATAGGGTTTCAACTAGAGCACACACTAAAAAATAAATTAAAAAAATTGATCAGTCAATCATGACAAGTCGTATCACCTCTTACTCCTTTCGTTCCATTTTATATGTCTAGTTTAATTAACGATACTTAACTAAAGTTATTTTAATTCAAATTTTTTATAACATTAAGTTTAATATTAATATATAACATTTATATATTTAGAAGTTATATTTTTTTGGGTAAAATTTTAAAGTTATATTAAAATTACTATTCAACACAAAAAAAAAAAAAATTATTAAAAATATTTATTAAAAAAAAGTTCACTTAATTTATGAATAGTAAACATGAGAAAATGAGACATAATGAATAATAATTTTCAAACATTAATGTGAGCCCCCACAGCCCAGGAGATGACTTATTGAAGTTGCGTGCTATCTCTTTTATATTTGGGTGTTGCGTGACTTCTTGATCAATAAATGAAATTGCAGATTTTTCAGACGCTAGCCTTGTACAATTTTGACTAACTAAAATTAAACGAATATCTTTTCCAAAAAAAAAATATATATATATATATATATATTGTCAAAGACCTTGTATTCAAGTTGCATAACTGTGGTCCTCAAACTTCAAAAATTGTATTTTTCGTTTAAGTTGGTGGTGGTGGTTATAGTGTGATTGTGTTGTGTTGTGGTGCGGTGGTTTGGTGGTTATGGTGGTAATAATAATAATTCGTAAACTAATTTTTTTTTTTTTTAAAAAAAAAGATTGAAGAGAGATGAAAAATAAAGAATCCAAATTGAGACTTTTTCATTGACGAAAATAAATATTTTCTTTTGATTTTATTTTCATTTGAATACCCAAATACTGAATCCAAAAAAAAAAATAAAAAAATTACAGAAGTTATTTTTTGGATTTCTAAACAAATCCACTTATTAATAACAACTACCAAAACATATTAGTTCACATGAAAAATAGTTGAGTTGAGAAAGTTATCCAGAATAAAATTTGATTAAAACTTGAGTGTAATTTTAATGAAATTTATGAAGACTTAATTGTATTAGTCTGAATCATTAGGATTAAAAGTTTTGCGTAATCCCCACACTTGGACCCAAAATGGGAGGCCTAAAGAAGAAGACCAAGTCAAAGATGATGAGTAGATTGGCAGTGAAGGAGCATGAAACATTGTAGTTTATGAAGGACGAGGTCAAACAATCTAAAGCCGTCATCAGACAACCTGTCCAAAGCTCACAAACCTTAATCTTCTTTATCCATCGCACACCTCAGGGCCAATACTATGAAATGAAAGAAACCATATCCCTATCCCTGTCTCGGCTAAACACTGCATGGCATCAGACGCCTGTTTCAACGCCTGCTGCTGTAGTAGTCTCGCCTCAAAACACTCCACTCTCCGCCCGCCGCCCGCCGCTTGCTGCCATGAATTCGCCGCCGCCACCGCTTCCTCCCTCGTCCCGGCGCCCAACACTCAATTCACTAACCATGAGTCCCTCCCTCCCTGCGCCCAAATGTTTTCAAGATTCCGTCACGTGTATCCTCACTACTGTAAGACTAATTCGGCAGACGAGATTCGGGCCCGAGAATACTACAATCTCGCCGGTTCCAATCGCGTCTGCCTCGATTACATTGGCCACGGGCTGTTCTCCTACTCCCAACAACAGGGAAACCATCATTTGACCGAAGATATCGCGTCCACCTCCGCCTGCCCGCCGCCCGCCGCCGCCGCAGGCGGCGGCGGCGGCCAGTTCTTCGATATCTTGTACAAGCCTGTGAGCTTGAACTCCCAGTTACTCTACGGCGGCACGGAATCTGGGCTTGAAGCCAGCATAAGAAAACGAATCATCAAGTATATGAACATATCAGAAGATGATTACTCCGTGGTGTTCACTGCCAATCAGTCATCTGCATTTAGGCTTTTAGCAGACGCTTATCCCTTCCAGGCAACCAACACTCTTCTCACGGTCTATGATTACCAGAACGAAGCGGTGGAAGCCATGGTGGAGAGCTCAAGGGCGAGAGGCGCCAGAGTTTTATCTGCAGAATTTTCGTGGCCTAATTTGAAGGTGAATTCAAGAAAGCTACGGAAAATGGTGGTGAGCAAAGGGACAGGGAGTAGTAGTAAACGAAAAAGGGGATTATTTGTGTTCCCACTTCAGTCTAGAGTGACCGGAACTCGATATTCATATCAATGGATGAACTTAGCCCACGACAATGGCTGGCATGTACTCCTTGACGCCTCAGCTTTAGGCGCCAAGGATATGGAGACTTTAGGCCTCTCCCTCTTTCAGCCTCACTTTCTCATCTGCTCATTCTTCAAGGTTTTTGGGGAGAACCCTTCTGGATTCTGTTGCCTATTTGTCAAGAAATCCAGCATCCCAGAATTGGAAAAATCCCCCACAAGCATTGGCATTATTAGCCTTGTTCCAGCCTCACCAGATAATAAAGAAAGCTCTTCATCTTCTTCATCTTCCTCCCCAGTATCTGTCCAAGAAAATTCAAGATTTCTGGGCACCAAAGAGGAAGAGGAAGAGGAGGAGAAGAAGCAGTTGTCACTGTGGGAATTCTTGAAACTGGAGAAAGTTATTGAGAGCAGACGGTTAAAGAACGCCATGGCCGCCGGCGCAGAGGAGATTACAGAATGCAGGGGATTGGATCACGCAGATAAACTAGGGCTAGTACTGATCAGTAACCGAGCCAGATACCTAGTAAACTGGCTAGTAAACGCGTTGCTGAGTCTCCGACATCCTCGTTCCGAAAACGGCGGCGTGTCTCTGGTTCAAATCTACGGACCAAAGGTGAGATTCGACAGAGGGCCAGCGATTGCGTTCAATGTGTTTGACTGGAAAGGACAGAAGGTCCCTCCCGCACTCGCACAGAAGCTAGCAGACCGACAAAACATATCTGTTTCCTGCGCATTTCTGAACCACATTGGATTCTCCGACATGTACGATGAAGACAAGAGAAAAGCCGTGGAGATCATCCTCGTCGGAGATAATAAGAAAAGGGGAACCTCTTCTTCTGGGATATCTGTGATCACTGTTTCTCTGGGACTGCTGACTAACTTTGAGGATATGTACAGGCTATGGAGTTTTGTTTCAAGATTTCTGGATGCCGATTTTGTTGAGAAGGAAAGATGGAGATACATGGCTCTCAATCAAACTACTCTTGAACTCTAGACCCATAATCCAACACACATATATTCTTTCATTCTTTTTACGTTGTAACTGGTTTTCATTCTTTGTACACATCAAACTTGTTCCCTCTTAGCTCAGTACTATGTTTCATCATTTTTCAAGCATACCTTTTTTACATGTCTTCCCTTTTCCCAGCTAAGTGCCTAAGTTGTAAGTTCCATCAAATCTATCCAAATTAGGCAATTATGGTGCACGTATGGATTTTCTTCTACAAAAATGTTGAATCTTCAAAACGGTATCATTTTATCTGTCATACTTACTATTTATTGAATCAATGGTTAAATTAATCTTTTTTTCTTTGTTTATTTTCTTTAGTCTTTTTTACTTATTCTTAAATTTAATTTTTTATGTTTAGTAGTATTTTTAGTGTTTTCTAAATATATGAATTTTGTATACTAATATTAAACTTAATATTGTAAAAAAAATTAAATTAAAAATAACTTCAGTCAAACATCGGTAACTAAACCAGACACATAAAATGAGATGGATAGAATAATATTTAAAAGCCCAATTTCAAATGAAATGGGCCTCTCTAAAACTTTAACAGCCCAATTTCAAATGAAATTTGTAATGGCCCAATATTAAAATAACGCAGGTTAGCATTGGGCTTAATCAAACTTTCAAGAAGACCAAAAAATTAAAAAAAATATATAAAATTATCAAGAAGACAAGAATTTGAAACTAAACTGGATTCTCTTTTGTGTCGTTCTCATATATCCCAACCAATATAAAAACAGCCATTAAATAATGTTCTTTAGATTCCAACTTTCACCAACCTCAATCAATACTTCATCTTCTATTGGTACGAGCATCTGGGCCTCTCATTTTTAGATGAGTCGGTGGTAGATGAGATTCAATCTTGGATCATTGTTTTTAATCTTCACTCTTGTGACCAACTGAACTGCTCATGAAGACAATATTATATATATTTTTTTTATCTATCAAGAGAAACGGGATCAATAAATATAAATAAATAAAAACAAACAGAAAATTTTTAATTAAAACTAAAAACACATGAATTTACGTGCTTCCGTACTATACCTACGGGAGAAAAACAATTTTTTATTAAATTTGATGATGCATTGAAGAGTATAAGCATTATATATATATATATATATATATATATATATATATAATCATAATTCCTAACAACACATTTATAAAATTTCTCACCTACTGTACGACGGAATGTTGCCCTTGTACCCCTGTTTCACTCACTTAACTCAATTATATTTTAATACATATCATCTTTTAGTAATATCTAAGACATACACAATATTATCCTCTTGATAAAAACTTATAATTATTAACCACAATCATTCATAATCTAAACTCTACTCTTTATTGAGCATTTTTAATGATGACATTATTTTATTTTGTAATTTATAGCCATTAAATTTGCTAATTAAGATGGGATATTAGTGAGATTTGACTACAAACATTTGCGTACCCTTAATAACTATTATACATGTTTATGATGAATATTTTCAAAATATAAATAAGTTCATATATACGTACACCAACTTCTATAAAAAGGAGTCTATGTTGGAAATATGCTATGGGGCATACCTTATGTGAGTTTGGGACATTTATGGCGAGTGGTTATAGACTTATAGGAGAGTTATAGGGACATGGACACTTAACCAAAGTTGCAAGACATTGTGGTTAGTCCTATCATGCCCTTTTCTTGAAAATGGGGAATCGAAATGTATTGGAAAGCTTGATTATAAATATGGAAAAAAAGTACAAAAATATGTATCTTCTCGTGAGTAATCGACTCTGACTCTGTTACAATGTAATATATATTCGTAATTACTTTTTTAATCTACTGGAGTATAAAATGATAATTTTTGTTTTCACTAGAGATCAAACTCATGATCTCTTAGTTGAAAAAATCACTTCATGTCACTAGACCACAAGATGAGTGATTCTCAATATCTTTTTTAAGTTTATATAAAACACATTTCGAATCAAACAAAAGTTTGATTGCTTATTATTTTGGTCTAACTTATTGTACAAACAATCCATTTAATACAATTTAATTGCCGCCAAGAGGGCTCTAACAACTAACAACCAAGTGCTCTTGTGAATATATCGGTACTAGTTTACTTCTCACTTAGAACATCCCATCCCTGAATTAAAGTTTTTTAATATAATAAAGTTGTCATTAAACAAAATAACAGTTTTGAACCTCTTTCGCTTTTAAACATTTGGTCTCTGCTAATTAATTTAAACAAATTTAGTCACTTAATTGTCCAAAATGTTACACTTTCATTCCATGCTATTATAGAATTATCAAACTCTATCAGCAAATTTTTTTTATGAGGTTATTTTTTGTCATTTAAAATCAATATCCATAATTAAAGTTTCATTCTTTTCATGTGGACATCATTTATAATAATGAATATTAATTCTAAATGAAAAAGAATAACCACACATATTAGTAGAGTTTGACGATTCTATAACACTAGGGACTAAAAATATAAAATTATTATGAACAATAAAAATGCTAAATTTGCTTAAATTAATTTACAAGAACCAAATTTTTAAAAATTATGGGACCAAAAATGTTGTTTTCCTTGTAATTACTATAAATAAATTGTCATTTTCATCCTAATGATGATGTCGATCCCAAACAAAGCAGTCCATGACTAAACCTAAAAATAGGTCGGACTCAATTATAGTTACGGCCACATTATTTTGACTATACGTTATTTAAATTAAATTAATGAGAGATCGCCGATGTGGACTTCAATATTTAATTTTCATTGTTAAGGTTGTTCCTTTGCTTGCGGGGTGAGCTATGCATCGTCAAATTAAACAACAACACCGTAATTACAAGAAAACTATCATACGAAATAGTAAAACGAGAATAACGTGATGTGTGGATGGGGTTGTTCTTATATAAATAAATAAATAAATATATATGGGTGTGTGTCTTACAATTCTTTAATAGGTAGTCTCTACCACCAGAGTTTGAACCTTTGACCATCCACTTAGATAGATAATTCAGATGCCATAACACTACACGGTAGTCGGCGATCAAATTTTTCTTTAAAAAAATGTAATGATATTTTTCGTAATTATCACCAACTTTACAAGGCAAACTTAAATACTACAATATGGAATTCTCAAACTTTTTCAGGTTTGCACATTTAGTATTAACATTTTACATATTTAGTATTAAAAGATTGTACTTGCAAAAATGTGAAAGTGTATTACACTTAGGGTTTTGATTTTAGAGTTTATGACTGATTTTTTTATTTTATTTGATTTAGTGGTTTTCTTTTTACTGTTTAAGGTTTAGCATTTAATGTTTAGATTTAGAATTTAATTTTTTTGTTGATTTTATAAAATTTACCAAGTCTGCATGTTTAGTTGTTAAATATTGCATACTTAACTGTTCAAGTTTGCATAATGAAATTGGATGATAATTATAAAAATGTCACAGCATATTTTTTTTTAAATAATCGGATCAGATCCGTTGAAAAGTAATATTTCAAAATATCAATAAGAATTTACAAGATTAATAATTCACTATAGCAATAATTAACATCTCAATCATAAACACAACAAAAATCTATTAATTCATATGCTATAACTCAATTGCATAATTATTTAATTACTATTCAACATCAATAAGCATATTATAAATCATGTCACTTTTAACCAAAAAAAAAAAAAAAAAAGTTTTACTCACTCATTAATATCGCATTAAGAAGACTTAATTTATTTTAATATGAAAAATGATTAGGACATCAATTTTATTCTCGATTATAACTATCTACAACAATACTCATCTTTACTACTACTTTTATTACAATTTAAAAATACTCAATTTGATTATATTGAAAATAATTATTTTTATTTTATATTAATTAATTAATATTTAAAATTGTACTAAATATTCATTTATTTTAATTTTTGTGTTGAGCATTAATTTAACCGCGCATTATAACTAGGGTATACACACACATCCTGAATTGGGTCTAGGTCTGAATTACATTGGCATAGTTTGACTCTTATTGCTTAAAAGGTCTAGTCAGATTATTTGACATGGTGCACGTACCATTTACTAAAGTTGAACCTCCAATATAATGTTGCAATTACATGGATTTCACATATTAATTGTTCCAAACTACAAATAAATTGTGGCTAATATCACGAAAGAGATAATTGAGTGGGTAGATCATGATTCTCATACCAGAATGTGAAGGGTTCAATTCTTGCCAACACTTTCTCAATTGGATTAATTTTACAATGTCTTCTTAATACTACTTATCATTCTTATCATCATTATTACAAAAGAATAATACACACTTTTAGATAATAGTTGTAAGTTTCTATCATCATTCTATAAATTATACATGGTGTTTAATGATGTTTTTATTTATGGGCTGTCTTATTATTATATATATATTTAATCCAACCATCCTGCTTACTTTTCAAATTTGGTTAGCTATGCTAATATTATTTTATGGCTGCGACACAGACACTTGTGAGTAGAACGGTATTGACTGAAGCCTGAAGGGCTGTAAGTTGTAACACGTGCCAACCCTCAAAACACTCATTATTGTATAGGTCTTCTTGGAATTACATTTAATTTTCATGATAACTACTATATTTAGTCTTTCTTATTATATATGCATAAATACTCTTTTTTAACAACTAGGTACATTATTTACGTTCGTATCTTAGCTAGCGTTTGACAAATATAATGTATTAATCATCCGTTTATGTTTATGCATATAAAGTTTTTAGATTTAAACACAACTCGAAACTTAATATAACATTAAAAATCATTTTTTTTATTGTTTTTTTGTATTTGTTTTATGACAGAGATGGCAGGTGGGTGAGAAGATGCGTGATAATTTATACCATGTTATTAATATTTTAATTATGGTGGCCAAAAATTTGGATCTAATTAATTTATATTTATATATATATTATATATAGATAGTATTCTGTGCGCCAACCTTTTGTTATGGTAACAAAATTTTGAATCCTTGTCGTCACACTACCTGAAAGTCAGTCCATCAGTCTGTATACTATGAATTCTGTTTAAATAATTTTCCAAATAATATTAAATTTAAACGTTTTAAATACAAATTAAAAAAATGTTTTGAATAAATATAAAACAACAACAATAATGATTATCAACTTATCATTCAAATTGCAAATTTGCAATCTACCGATAGTTAAATTTATACTACACTCATAATTTAATTTGTGACTACTACTTTATATGTACTTTTTTATTTTGATACGAGTCAAAAGGACGAAGGAGTTACAAACTTATCACATAAGAAATATAATATATGTTAAAACATTATATTCTTTATATTATTGTGGCGGCAATCTACGTACTCTTCTTCTTCTTTTTTCGTACCATAAATATCTAGTTATAATTTTCGTATATACTAACAAGTGGCATGCTATTATTTCTTATGTTTTGATATTATATCTTATAAAGTATATGATATATATTGTTAGCATGATGTTCCATTAACGTCGTACAATTATTCACAATTGTTTTTTTGGCTTGGTTGGCTATGAGGTGGTTCTGAAAAGAATACATATATGATATTGACATATAGTTGGCCAACTTAAAATGCACATGATGTTGCTAATAGTACACATATAGATTTTCATTTATAAAATAGATAAACAAACAAGTTACGATTTTCGTATTCGAGAAACTAAACAATAAATCTCAATTATTAACATATACAAACTATACGTGATCTTTGTCTAAAACACCTGCTAATCAAACATTAAATATGAACTAAGTTGCAACAGGAATTCATGTTTTGTTGTTTGAATGACAAAAATTAGGGAAAAAAGTTATAACAGTATGAGTGTATTCTGTAACGGGTAACGACAAGAAATTATAAAATAAAATGACTAAACTTAATTGAGGGAGACACTATACGACATGCTTGGCTGGGAGGAAGGGTGGGGTAAACCCCTGCATCACACTAGAAACACCTTATGCGACACGCTCCACTAGAAAAATGTTAATAAGAATTGAACTCGTGATTTATTAGTGAAAATATTAATTAGCAATCAATGGCAATAAAAAGAACAAATAATGTTTAATATGTTACTGAACTAAAAAGAATGCAATTTAATTCCTGAACCACTCAAAATTATGCAATTAAATTGAAATTAATGGTCAAACATGTCAATTTCAATTTCACTGCATAATTTTAAATAATTTAAAATCTTAATTACAGTTATTATTTTAATTTGATGACCCAATTATATTGGTGTTTAGTAAGTTTAGTGGACCCATTTGAGTATTATTGCTAAAAAGAAATGAGAATAATGAAATAATAATGGCCCCCCGAAGTGGAAATTGAGTCTTCGATTGAGGGCTGGAAAAAGGTGAGTGATTCCATCGCGGTTGGCTGCCGCGCTGGTATAAAACGGCTACCTGCGACGCCCCTCTCCTCTCACTCTCATCCCACAACTCGCACTCGCCAACTCACCTACCTACTCACTGTAGAGAGAGAGAGAGAGAGAGAGAGAGAGAACCGCTCCTCCGCCCGTTACTTCATTCTTTTGGGATCTTCACTTCGTTTCTTGCAATCGGAAATGGCTTCTGAGCAGAAGAATGTCGGAATTCTTGCCCTCGAGATTTACTTCCCTCCCGCTTGCCTCCAGCAGGTATGCTATTCTCACTTATAACTACCATATACCCACAACCCACCTAGTGTTTGTTTGATGTTTCTATGAATTCGTCTCTGTATATCTGGGCATGCATATATATATATATATATATATATATATATATATATATATATATATATATATATATATATATATATATATATATATATATATATCTGTTTGACTTTGTGGAGAGAGAAAGATTGCCTTTTTCTCCTTTATCATGATCGGAATAATGCTGGTTAAGTTCTAGGATTTTCTGAACCGTGTGTATGGTCGATCTTTTGGGATGTTCTTGTGGTTGAAGAAGATACCCGAATGGTGAAGAGTGGCCTGGAAGAATGCTGATTTTCAGATTCCTCAAGCTATGCTTTTTAAAATGAAATTTCCCTTCAAAATCTAATCTTTCGAGGAGATACATAAATAACTGCTAATTTCACTTAGGATTTATAAAGTTTCTGTTTTTAAGGATGTTTGTATTGATGAAGAAAGTTGGGAGTATTTCTTAGAGGACTGGTTGTTTATTGATCGGTGGCTGTTAACTGTTAACTAGTTAAGTACTATGCTTTTGTTCATGTACTAAGCTGTGGCATCAGTAGTGCCATGTTTCGGCTTAATCTTTAATCCTCATATGTTGATTTATTATTTACTTGAAAATGGAAGCTAATAGATTTTATTAAGGTTCATAAAGCAAATACCTTTTATGTTTTTGTAATCAACACTTGAATTGGTGTGGTCTATACTCTATACTGAGCGATTTATGAAAATACTCGTTGTGTAGGAAGCATTGGAGGCTCATGATGGAGCAAGCAAAGGGAAATACACAATTGGCCTTGGTCAGGATTGCATGGCTTTCTGCGGTGAGGTGGAAGATGTCATATCCATGAGGTATTAGCTCTATTTATGATGCGATTTTTTTTCTGTTAGATACTAAATTTCCTACCTAATTGGCAGACATAATGTGATGTGATCGCTTATTCGTTTTTGGATTCTCAGTTTAACAGCTGTTAGTTCGCTTCTTGAGAAGTATGGAGTTGATCCAAAGCAAATTGGTAGATTGGAAGTTGGAAGCGAGACTGTTATTGACAAGAGTAAATCTATCAAGACTTTCCTGATGCAAATTTTTGAGGTACTGAACTCATTTTCGTAAAACTGTTTTTTAATGAATCTTAATACCGAGTATTGATTCCTTGATGTGTGACAAAAACAGAAATGCGGGAACACTGACATCGAAGGTGTTGACTCGACCAATGCATGCTATGGAGGAACTGCTGCATTGTTTAACTGTGTGAATTGGGTTGAGAGCAGTTCATGGGATGGCCGCTATGGGCTCGTTGTGTGCACAGACAGTGCGGTATGATTTTCACCTTTATATATATATATCTATATATGTGTGTGTATATGCAAACACCTTTACTGAATAACAAATTTTGATAGGTCTATGCTGAGGGGCCAGCTCGGCCAACTGGAGGAGCTGCAGCTATTGCTATGCTAGTAGGGCCCGATGCTCCGATTGTTTTCGAGAGCAAGTTGAGGGGTAGCCATATGGCTCACGTCTATGACTTTTACAAGCCTATTCTCGACAGTGAATATCCGGTAACTGCCTATTTTTATTATCTTCAGATTTTCTCGGTATTGTGAATTATATTCTTGTGGTTCTCATATAATGGGTATTCTTGCAGGTCGTTGATGGTAAGCTTTCACAAACGTGTTATCTCATGGCACTCGATTCATGCTACAAGAGCCTGTGCAGCAAGTAAGATTCCGTTTCAATGTTAGCGTGTTATTATCTCTATGAATATGGAAAGTGAATCTGTTCTGACTAATTAACTTGCGTACTATAGATACGAGAAATTAGAGGGCAAATCGTTTTCTGTTGCTGATGCCGACTACTTTGTTTTCCATTCTCCTTATAATAAGGTAATTCATTCATTATCAACGAATTATACTTTTTTTTTTTTTTCCTTTTCTATCGGCTTTGTCTATTAATGAGGTGAGAGATAAAGATCACACTAACCTTTCATTGCAAATCTTGCAGCTTGTTCAGAAGAGCTTTGCTAGACTGCTATTTAATGACTTTTTGAGGAACGCGAGGTGAGTTGCATGAGTTTTACTTACAAAATTTACATACGAGTTTTAGTCGGAAACATATAGAGTGTTGATCATATTTTGCGTTGATTTATTTATAGCTATATTAATGAGGCTGATAAAGAGAAGTTGGCACCGTTTTCATCCTTAACTGGTGACGAGAGCTACTCAAACCGTGATCTTGAAAAGGTTCGGTTTTGAACAAATGTTTTTCACTTTCTCTTCCCCTGAAAATCGTAGAAAATTTAAGTGATTCTTGGATTTGATCAAACTAACTGTCTCCTATATGCAGGCATCCCAACAAGTTTCCAAACCGTTTTACGATGCCAAGGTGCAGCCATCCACGTTAGTGCCAAAACAAGTTGGCAACATGTACACTGCATCGATCTACGCTGCATTCATATCCCTTATCCACAACAAGCACAGCACCTTGGTAAATATCGTTATTATTTGTCCTGTCTCCTATGTTCTTGCCTCGGTTCTTCTGTTCCTAAATCATTTTATCATTCCAGCCTGGGCAACGGGTAGTAATGTTCTCCTATGGGAGCGGGTCAACTGCCACAATGTTTTCACTCCGCATTCGTGAGGGTCAACATCCTTTCAGCTTGTCAAACATTGCAGCCGTTTTGAATATTGCAGAGAAGTTGAAGTCAAGGCATGAGGTACAGTATAAATTTTTATTTTTTTTGGTCATTCGATTCATTCTATTTCCTGTCAGTGAACTATAATCCACAATATTTGAACTGCAGTTCCCTCCCGAAAAATTCGTGGAAATTCTGAAAATAATGGAGCACAGATATGGTGCAAAAGACTTTGTAACGAGTAAGGATTGCAGCCTCCTTGCTCCGGGCACCTACTACCTCACCGAGGTTGATTCCAAGTACCGGAGATTCTATGCCAAGAAAGAAACGAAGGCAGCAGTGGCCAACGGCCACTGACCGGAGTCCATCAAGTGCCTGCTTTAGTGATCAGAAAACCAGAGAGCAAGTGTGCTTAGCATCTCTGGCAGGCAGAAATGTGATTTAGTTTCTTTCAATGAGATATTCCTGTATTGTGTAATGGGTTGTTTCCCAGATAGCTAACTGTAGATGGTTGAGAGATCATCAGTGTACTTTATTATTTCAATTAATGAATGTTCTTTTTCCATATTCACTCAACTCTTTTCTGCACTACTTGTGCACGGTGACAGAATAGTAGAGAGGTAACTCAACTCAGCGATTTATTAAGTGGGAGAATCGATGTCTGGTGTCCACAAAGAGTACCACATTTTAGGTGAAAACGGTCTAGCTATCACTCAAGAACCCTCTTTTTTGCAGTGCAACTGTTAGTGCTTGATTCTGTATCTTGCTCACAATTTACCACTTAAGAATCAACTGAGTTGTCTGACAGTGAGTCAGCAGTTTATTAAGTGGGATGATCGATGCCCGTCTAGCTATCACCCAAGAACCCTCTTTTTTGCACTGCAACTGCTAGTGTTCGATTCTGTATCTTGCTCATAATTTACCACTTAATAATCAACTGAGTTGTCTGTGTGGAGGTAACTCACAGTGACTCAGTGGTTTATTAGGTGGGAGGATCGGTGTCCAGTGTCCACAAAGAGTACCACATTTTGCCATTTTGGGTGTAAACGGTCTAGTTACCACCCAAGAACCCTCTTTTTTGCATTGCAACTTGCAAGTGCTAGTGCTGGATCCTGTATCTTGCTCACAATTTACCACCAAAGAACCAACTGAGTTGTCTGTGTGGAGGTAATTCATAGTGACTCAGCAATTATTAAGTGGGAGAATTAGTGACTCAGCCATTATTAAGTGTGGAGGTAATTCATAGTGACTCAGCAATTATTAAGTGGGAGAATTAGTGACTCAGCCATTATTAAGTGGGAGAATCACTGACTCAGCCATTTTTAAGTGGGAGGATCGAGCCGGTGTGCTTTATCCTGTATCTTGCCCATAATTTATCACCTAAGAACCAACCAAGTTCTCTGTGTGGACTCTTTTCTGCACTATTATTCTATGGGGGTAATATCTATTACACTTGTGTATTCATAATTTTCATCTTACAAATACATGAACATTCTGTGCGCATTCCGTGCCAAGACACAGACATTCCATTCCCAATTTTATTGATGATGAAACAATAGAGATACAACAACATTCAATAGAGATACAACAAGTGAAGGAGGATGAATTCAAACATATATCCACCCAACCCAGCAAGCAAACTCGATCTTGAGTTTCAAGCTGCGACAGGAGTCTTCCTATTTGGCTGGAAAACATAGCGTATAAGCGAATCCTTAATCGACAAGAGCTGTGGGAATTCTGTCTTGAGTTTTGTCGCGTCAAGTTCATTGTTGCTTCTGGGAGCAACAATCACCTTAGCCTGTTCTTCTAGAGTGAAGTTCTTCCAGGTGAACTTTGGGTCGATGTAGTCTCTGTACATCTCAAGAATCTCGTTATGGCTAACGACTCCAGGGTTGGTGAAGTTCCAGATTCCGGTGAGGTTTCTCTTCGCCATTTCAATGGAGATCGGGAGAAGCTCGTCCAAGATTGTCATGGAATTCGGAATGTTCACCACTTTCTCGTAGCGTGTGATCTTGGTGATGAAGTTTCTGGGGTTGGATAAATCCGATGAGATCGGCATTCTCACTCGTAATGTGCAGACATTCTCGTAGTTCTTCAGCAAATCCTCCACCTAAACCAAAAATACAATCAAGAAAAACACTTAAAATTCCCCAACTTTATACAGAGTAGATTGAAGAAGAAGAAGATACATAAATATGCACCATTGCTTTGGTTTTGGAGTAGAAAGATCCGATGAAGTTGGGGGTGTCTTCTTCCTTGAAGCCGACGCCGGAGCCGAGGGGGTGGCCGGAGTCGTACTCGAAGATACAGCCGGTGGCGTAGTTGATGAGGACGAGGCCCTTGTCCCGGCAGACGTCGGCGAGAGTGAGGGTGCCGGCGACATTTGTGCGGATGGTTTCCACCTTGTGCGACTCGCAACAGTCGACGTTGGGACGGCCGGTCACTCCGGCGGCGTTGAACACGTGCGTCGGATTAACGGCGGCGATGTCGGCCTCCAACGAACTCCGGTTCTCCAGCCGCCCGGACCCATACACGTACTCGATCCCTTGACCCTCGCACAGCTTCCCCAGCAGGCCGCCAATCCACCCCGTCCGCCCGTAGATCAGGAACTTCAACGCCGTCTTTTCCGATGACCCGTTCGCCGGAAAACCCATCACGTATAGTTCAGACAGAAAAGAGTCTTGAGTGAGAGAGATGAAAGAAGTGAAATATATGAAGCAGTGATGCTGGCGCAGTATTTATTGAGAGATTGGATCTGAAATCTTATGATTAAAATCCCATGTTTTTCGGGCCAAAGATAACGTTGACGTTGACGGTCGGGATTTGTTTTGCCGGCAAAAATGTACTGTATTTCTTCTGACAGCGATCTCTCCGTCACAGCTGACCGCTAGTGTTTTGACGATAACGTCGAACCACTTATAATATTCTTTCCCTTCTAATATAAAATACTATATTATAGAATATACGATAACTCGATAAGTACTGTTTAAATATTTAAATTACTCTTAAACTTAACTAGTATGCATTGATTTATTAAATATTACTCCGTATTTATTCCCAAAACTAAATATAATACATTTGATTTTTAAACAATGTAAGGGTAATTTCGTGTTTAACAAAATAATGAAAGTAGAATTGTTAATGCAATGTAAAACTTAAAATGATAAAGATAACCATCCGTACTAACCTAAATTTATTCGTTTGGTATTGTCTCGCCTAAAAAATGACAAATGAGACAATTTTAATTTGAAAGAAACCACACGTTTTCATTTTCTTTTTAATTACTTGTATGATCAAAATATCTCACTGTTTCTATTTTTAGTAGGAAGCAGCATACGACATGGAGTAAAAGAATTTGTCATTTTGCAAATTTCCCCGCCTTCCTAATTTTCTTGTAAAGTTTCTTTTTTCCTTAATTTATTCATAAAGTCGGTAACTTAATATCATATAATACAGGTATGTCTCGATTCTCGAAAACAAGTCTAGTTTGCATGAACCACGACTATATCGCCGCGCATAACATCTAGTTCTAATAGAATTTAACTCTTATTCAAGAAAAAAACATGACCTAAAGTCCTAAATGCACATCAATCATCAGACCTAACCTTATTATACCTTAATTTTTGTATTTGACAGGAGATCAACCTCCATTACATATGGCCACTTTTGAGTGTCGGTGCTACCAATTCTTAAAACATGGTGGCCCCCCGGGTGGAGGGTGGGGGGTTAGATTTAATCTTCCCAGACAAGCAAAATATGCAACTTAACAAGAACAGGTAGCAATGATATAGTCACAAAATGCGACAGCCATATAACTTGAAGAACATCAACAACTGAATTGCAAGATTCTAACCAGAGATGATATTAACTGACTGTATATATACACGAGATAAAAAGCAGAGTTTGAATTGGAAATATGGTTTATTGGTATAAAGGAAGGAAGAGGGGAAATCCAAAATGTCACATCATTTACATCACACCTTCACAATAACATGCTCATCTTACATCACAATGCATTTATCTTTCGCCGACTTTGGCTCCTGCCTCGCAGACGAAGACATCTGCTGCTGTTGTCCACTGTACCTCGATACCTGCAGTAAGCATCATACATGTATTCTTACCGACTCGATCAATTATAATAAGCTTCAAAGCTTGGATGCATGTGCACATCTTTTAGTAACGACTAACATATATGTATACGTGTGTGTATTATGGAGAACATATATATCAGAACTTCCGAGAGCTACCTGAGGGCCTGTTATCAATCCCGACCCTCCATTTATAGTTGGCTGTTGTTGATTACGAGTGTTCTGTTGTGCCTGCTGTTGCTCGAATTCCTGCTGCTGAAGAGCTATAGCCAATTGGAGATCGGAACTGCCAAATGATGGAAACAAATGTTGTAAAATAATCATCTAGCATTCATCCCCGTCTGTTTTTCAATTTATCTTTAGCACTAAAGTAGAAATGTTAACAAATTATTTCTATTTTTCTTTTTGCAAAATATCAAATGCTTAGGTTGCGTGGATGAAAATGTTAAAGCAATCTCCACCCTTCAATGTTGTGTTTGGCTGTGTATATAGATACCCATTATAGTGAATAACTTTTCGGCAACAGAATCAAACCAAATTGCAATTATACAAATGCGAAATTCAGATAATTACTTGAAATTTGATTGCCCTTGTGCTGCATTGTCAATGCTGGCAAGGTAGTCCTGTAGGTTAATAGTCGAAGTCATTATTTAAAAGCCACTAGAAAAATTCATTGAAAGTTCATAGAGAAAAAAACTACGTACAGCTGTATTGGCTAAGGCACTCTGCTCATCCCATGGTGTACTAGCAAGAGTTTCCACCTTGAACTCCTTAAAATTACCAGTCACGTACTGTGTGTTCCCATTCACCTAAGAAAACCGATTATTTTCTATGAATAAGAGCTCTGTAGTAGCAAATCAGATCAAGATATATGACTAACGGAGATGAAAAGAGCAGATTTTGGTGGCTGATCAGACCGCTGGGTGATGTCAGAAAGTTAAAACTTAAATTTAACGGTGTCATTCAAGTCAGGAAATCTTACCTCGTTGAGCTTTTCCCACACCAACTCAGGCTGATTTATAAATCCCTGGTCTGTAGCCAAAATATATAAATCCCCTTCAAACTGCACAAATGTTTATATTAGGCACTTATGTCCTGTAAAATTACATGAAGAGCCAGCCAATACACATGAACCCTTTCATTCAACAAGTGCAAAATTTTCCAATTTAACTGACCTTAAACATGGTGTTGAAATGATTGTTCCTAAAGAAAACACAAAGTTCTCGCTCTTTAAGACCATCTTGCAAGCAAAACAATCTGCAAGAAGAAGAAGGAAAAAAAAAAAAAAAGAGAGAGAGAGAGAATTTGTAACACCCAAAAAAACAAGGCATGTTCAACGGAATGAATAGAAAGTAAGGAGCAGAAAAAGTCGGTTCACCCATAGATAGTCAGTTGACTGGCACTGATCTTCAGGAAGTTCCTGATCAATTCTCCTGATAGAAATCCAGAGAGTAAATATTATATTTTGGTTAACCCACAACATCGTGGTTAACTAAAATAAGAAGAATATGACAACAGCAAAAGAAGAAAACAGTATGTTTATGCAAACTTTACCTTCCCTCGGAGTGATTCCATGGATGGGATTTGAGTATGGAACATCTCTAGGGTCTCCGCCCACTTGTTCAGTTAGAACCACCTCCCCTTCATACATTGGTTCATGATTTTCATAGGTTTTGGCTTCTGATTCCATTATGCATTCCTCTCCTTCATAGATAGGCTCACTGCCATCAACACTCGAAGAAAAAGTTTCGGGTTCATTATTAATGTCTTTTCTTCCACTAGACAAATCAGAGTCTACACACGGTGTCAATGAACTAGATGAAGACAGAATGTCAGAGCCTTTTTTATTATTTTCTGCCCCGGGTCCATCAGTAGAGGAAGTGGATTGATCCCCAAGTCCCTTTTCACATCCAGTAATCTGAACATGACTTTCACTTGCAGATGAAATAACTTCCACAGATGGCTCAGGGGTTACAAGTTCTTTCTCAACTAGAAAATTTGTCTTTCCAAAATCTTTGGATGCATTCTCCAGATCAGTCTTAGGAGATACCCCTGGAGATAATTCAAGACTGAAATTTGGGTTATTAGTGAAATTGCCAGACTGGATACAATCATCAGACACTGCTACTACACCAGGTATTGGAGATTCATGCTGGAACGAGTCTTTGGCAGAATTTGCTTCTGATGTCTTGACAAAAACTAGTGGCTCAATATCTTTTACAACAGCACTCTCATTGATTGAATTTGGTCCATCAGCGAGTACATCAACTGTTGATGGATCGGGGTTACCTACCTCTGACAATTTCAAGACTCTCATCAACTCCTCTTCTTCTTCCAGGTCCCCTTTTCTTGCCTTACGCTGGTGATCAGAGACAGAAACAGGAGAATCATCAAAAGATCTACCTCTTGAAAGGGAAGGTGAAGGTACCCCTAGTGCTGCAGTTGTTGCAGCAGCAAAATCAACGACATCATCTTCAGCACTTTTCTTATGTTCACTCTCCATTTGTTCTGTTTCGAGAGCAACAAGCTCCCCCATCAGAGTATTATATGACTTCAATCCTATTGCATTTGCAGTATCATGATCCTGGTAGACATGAATCAGAGCTCAAACCACTGGCGACAATTTATAAACATGAAAACACTCTTTTTTCCAGAATGATCCATCAAATGTATCAGATAAAGGGAAGATGGTATAGATGAAAATAAAAATTATGGAAATAGCTAATACCTGAGGATCAACTATCCAACCATGATAGAGTGGAATATCCAACAGATCAAAAATCGCACATTCTCGGGTGAACTCAAAGTCATCAATTCTGAAAAGAAAAATAAAATTTTAGTCAAGCTCTCAATTACAAATTAGCACTACATGTCAGTAATGTCACCAGAAAACAAAAGATATAGTAACAAACAGAAAAAACACCTACCTCCTGAATTTTATATTTACATCAATTCCAGTTGTAAGTCTAGGAAGCAAATCAATGGCATCAGCAATATTCTGCTGCTGATTCTCAACATAACCGGCATCTTTGTCCTGGACCCCAAATATAAGCAATCAAAAATCACAAATTTAGGAAACAGAAACAAAACTTTTCTGGTACAAATAATTAAGAAACCTAAAAAATGATAACATGGTAAGGCCATAAATATCTTTTGTAATCTAATTCAATATTCTTATTGGCATTTTTTTTTTTTTGGGAGGGGGGGTTAACAGTATAATTAACAAACTCAAATGAAGCAACAAAAAAGAATTACATTGACATTACTGTTTGAATCAATAAGCCGCTCTGCAACAAGAGATAGCAGTTTTTCCTGTGAAACCTCGGGGACATCAGGACTCAAATTCAAGTTGTTCTTCAACAGGAGCACATTGCCTATATATACAGAATATGATAAACTCATCACCAGTAAGAAATAATGAAAGAAAGCATTTAATTTTACAGGAAAACTCATCACATAAGGGCACAATCCATGGCATATTCAGCTACCTTGGTAATAAGTAGCACCAAATTCACGAATCACAATAGACCTTAGAAATGAATTGGTATCTCATTTCAAACGAAAAGGTGAAGGAACAGAAAATATATAAAATTGGTACTAGAGCATCAGTTATATTTAAAAGAAACTAAATTTAAGCTCTATAGAGTAAAGATGAAAGGAAACTGATTTTCATATTCAACTTTCTTTCACCTAAGCTAGTCTATTATTTTGTTTCTTTTCACACTAATTCACCAGACATCACTTAAGAATATATTGATTTCTTTGCATCAGTTGTGGTACTGTAAATTTCATGCCGCACATTAGTATCAGTTACTTTACAAAATTGACATGCCTCACTCTTAAAGATCATGAATATGACAGCAAACAATACTCAGTTTGAGTCATGACTAACACTGATACATTACAGTACAACTGAAGAACATGCACTACCCAAACCTCAATTCACACAGTGCAACGCAAGTTGACAATAAAAATGCAATCTTTATCTGAAATTTCTATTCAGAGTATATATTTTTTAGTCCATCCAACAATTCACCATATCATCACAACAAAAGAAACATAATCAATCAATCCCCAAATCCTGCCACAAGTGAAAATTTGAAACACTAACATAAATCACTTGCTGATCATACCAGCCAATTCTTATATCATAAATCAGTCTCAAGGTACCAAAGAGGAAATGGCTAAAAGGAAAAACCATGCCTTTTGACTCTGAAGTGATTATTTCTTAATCCACACAATACTAATTAGATTCAAAAACAAAGAATAATCACATAGTTAACAACCAAAGAGTAAAACAAACAAAAAAAAAGTCAACACGCGATACGAATTTGCTTATTTAAGCATGCGTATGAACACAAAACCCTAGGAGAGAGGGGAGGGTTTACAGATTGCAAGAAGAGGGCAAGGGCCATTGTCATTCTGGAGAATGATGGGAGTCGTTCTGCCCAGAAACTGAATAACCTTGGTCTTGTGGACCATTTCCTTCTCTTTGGTCGCAGCCGGCGCAGGCTCGTCTCGATTCTGGCTTTCCTCCTGCATCGCATCGGCTGCCGGCGTCGTCGCCGTCGTGGAAGAAGAGGGAGCCGCAGAAAAAGACATTTCAGGGAGAAAAAAAAAAAAAATTGAATCGGCAAATTGGGCACACGGGATTTACGTAATCTATTCCTTATCTACGACCATATAGACTGAGTATACGTAAGAGAATACAGGATCTAAACTTAACGCGAGAAAGAGAGAAAATCAGGGATTCATGACGACATATATATATATGCTGCAAAATTAGCGTGGAGAAAGTGGTAGCCAAGTGAAAAGGGCACCATTTTCCCTTTTGCTTTTTCTTCCTCTTTTTGCCAATTATTATCACGTCCGTATCTTCCTATTTTGAACTCGTGAACTCCGACTACAAAATGTAATTTCATCAACTTTGAACCCTAAAACATCAAATCAATTCGGGTATATCTCCATTCAAATAATATTTATGTCTCATTTTGATTTGGTTTCTTTTTTTAAAAATAATGAAAAATTGTTAAAAATGACTATGGATTCACTTTTATGATGTCTTTGGGTCTTTTTTGTATCATTTCTGAATTAAACATCTTTAAAAATATGTGAATATACTCAAATTTATTTTCGTTAAGGAAAAAGAAAGGGACAAGCCTCAAAAAAAAAAAAAACGTCTACAGTTAATACGGACATTCGAACTCTCATCACATCATTTTGAAAAAATTATAGTCAACTCCTTAATAAAACTAAAGAAAAATTACACCTCAAACTTGAGTATTGATGTATTTACACCATATATGACTACTATAAACTAGTTTAAAATCGGACAAATCTTGAACTATTTGAGCTATCCCCTTGACAAGGACCCAAATTCAGTCTCTAGCTTCCTAACTGGCTTATGACCAATACTAGCTCACCTCTAAAGTTTGAAGTTTCATAATAGCTTTAGAATAGATCGATTATTCAGCCCGCACGGGCTTAGCTCACTAATTCAATAGGCAGTATTTGTGAAAAGAAAATTAAGGTTTGAATCTCGACAACGGCAATATAGATATTATGTTCAAAGTAAGCAGATCCCTTATATGTACTAGTATTTGGTATTATCTGTTAAGCTATTGAGTCACTATAATTTATATCATTCTAAATGTTCTGTGGAACTCTTGAGATTGAGATTCAACATTTTGGAAGAAGATCGATTATCCAGTATTATAATGGGCCATATTTTGGACCTATTGTAATGGGTTTATAAGAGTTGGCCCATTTTAGCGGTTGTCAGGCTAGTTAAAGCAATCGGTAGAAGTGGGCATTTGGGCTTCGTCCTTATTACTGCAACAGATTTGGCGAATTATTGTATGGACCCTGGTCCACACAATGTTATGTGGATCATAATAAAAAAATACATTTTTAATATACTAAATGTGTATTATTTTTGTATTGAATGTACATTATAAAATATAATGTACACTCAGAACAAAAATAATGTATATCCCTTGTATACAATATACATTATTTTTATATTGAATGTACATTATTTTTGTACTAAATGTACATTATTTTATAGTAGACAACATATGGTCCAAACAATAATGATTGAACAGATTTAAATGGAGAATTGTGGATTTGTGGGCAATAATATTGATGTGTGAATTTTGGAAAAAATTGTATAGAATAATAATTCATAGAGTGAGTCTACAATTTAAATTTAAATATAACTAATAGACTAAAATCATGGGTAAAAAAAAAAAAAAAAAAAAAAAAACTACACTCTGGGGATAATTGTGACTAATCATATATATCATGGGACATCATGGGTGACAAAATACACTCTCATATGTTTTAAGTCTATTGTATTCTCAAAACTTGAATACAAGACCTCTACTTAAGTTGAACAATTAAACGGAAATATTCATTGCAGTAAATAAAATTTTAATATAAGCTTGTGACTATTTAATAAGCATAAATTTTGTATGTGCATATAAATGTCTTTTAAATTCAAATAAAATATGAATAAAATAAAGATCTATTTTATAAGTGCAACCCCAATCAAGTTAGTCCAACAATAATTGTTTATATTTTCTCTTAGAACGTGTGAATCATTCCTCATACCCTCTATGTATAATATATTCCATTTTGTAGCTAACGTAATTAAAGAAATGAATGCTATGATGCATTAGACATATATGGTAGTTAAATTATATATATTTAGCTTTGATATCAATCTCAACTACCCTTTAAAGTATAGGGCGTCATGTACCAATCGTCTTAAATTGAAAAATAAGTTGACCAACACAACACAAATATATATACCATATTGAAAATGTGTGAATTATTTTTGAATAATGACAAAGTCAGAGCTGGCATTGGCATATGGTCCCCATTTCTTTTTAATATTCTGTTTGGCATATAATAGTGAGTTTGATTAGTTCATAGTATTGGTTGATTATAGAAAGATATTTGGTAAATTAGTTGTTCGCCGATAACGAATTATATGTAAAATAATTTTCTTAAAAAGCTGTTTTGATCCTTTTTTAAATTTTAGCATTTTGAAACAATAAGTTGTTACAAAAAGCTACTTAACCAATTAAACATTTATATTGGTTATTTAACCCAGTCGAACAACTAATAATGGTCAAATAAGTCAAAATTGACTTATAGACTAACTATTTTACCAAACATGATCTTATTGTACGTACTAGTATGTTGTGAAAAAAAAAGGTACGTATTTGTTGTAAAAAAAAAAAATTGTACTAGCATCGATTGACCTCGTTTTATGCAATGTTTTTTTTTTTTTTCTAATGTATTAAGCAAATGAAAAACAATAATAAAGAGAGAAAAAAAAGAGTGGGAATTTCTGTTTTAGGATTGGGTGTTAGAAAATTATTTAATTTGTTACTGTTTTTAGTGACAGTTAGGTTTACCAAAAGAAGAAAAGGGATGAGGCAAAGGTGATTCCTTGGCCTTAAACGTTGCTTAATTATTACTGGAGCTGAAGCTAGGCTGCAGAAAATGCAAGAAATTGGAAGGTAAAGAGCGAATCTCCTGAGATCGATCAAGAAGAAGAAACCCATAAACGATTGCGTTTAGGGTTTGTGATGAACAGCACAGTTGAATATATATAGCCAGGCAGCAGCGAGCCTCCATCTTTCAGATCTGAGAAAACTAACCCAGAAAAGCAAGGTTTTTATAGCCCTTTCCTCTTTTGGGAGTCAACAATTTCAACTCCGATTCCAACCTGTCTTCCTCACCCCCTTTCTATTTCCGGAAACTTTGATTAGATTACATTATTTTGATCACTTTTTTTTCTTGGTTTGGTTTAAACCATATATATATCCACCATAACTAATCTGGGTTTTTGTTGTTCAGTTCTGATCTTGTGAGGTGAAGTGAAATGGTGAGAGGGAAGACAGAACTGAAACGGATAGAAAACGCGACGAGCCGGCAAGTGAGCTTCTCGAAACGGAGAAGAGGGCTTTTGAAGAAGGCTTTTGAGCTTTCCGTTCTGTGTGACGCTGAGATTACACTCATCGTCTTCTCCCCCACTGGAAAGCTCTATGAGTTTTCGTCAACTTCCAGGTACAATGCACTTGCACCTGTCTCATCACCTTTAATATCATCCATCTGCTACATACTGTAATTATATTATTCTCAACAAAATAAAAAAGACATCTTTTTTATTATATTATCCATATGATCAGTACCAAGTACACTGGTCACTGGTTTTACTCTTGATGATCTGTCTGTGTCTGTGTCTGTGAGTTCAGAAATTTTAAGATTCCTGTTTTCTTCCTTAGCTTGCAATAATGATGATCATTTTTTCTTGTCTTAGAATCTTGAAACTTCATCCTTGCTCTTCAATTCTTTTTTTTTTTTTTGAAAACTGCCCTTCAATTCTTAGACCTAGATTTTGCTTTCCATCATATAATATAGTTCTATCTAGTTCCATAACTTTCTGGATTCTTAATTGTTTGAGAGAAGAAACTAACCCATTTTCACTCTCTAAATGCACAAATTAATATTGAAATCGGAGAAGATTAATTAATTGGGATTACTTCAATTATCTTTTTGTATTTTTTGGTATAATTTTCTTTTACCTTCTTTATTTTTATGTTTCAAATAAATAAGTAAATGTATTTGCTTTTGATTTTTTTTTTTTTAAAGAATGTAGATTTTTTTATACCCTAATTCTTCCAATTATGTTAAGTATTGATTACCAAATACCTTGTGGTCGAACGGTATAATTGTGCCTCTCTCAAATGAGAGGTCACAAGGTAACAAAATCAATAGTATTAAAAAATATTAAGTATTTATTATCTTTTATTATACGGAGTATTAAATCATGTCATCTTATTTCAACTACCTATGAATACAGTAAAATCATTAGTACATGGGGACACTTATTTAATGTATATTTTTCTTTTTAAGTTTGAAGTTTAAATTTAATGGTAATTCTCCTTCTTTTACCTTCTATAATTACTAGCAAAATAAAGTTATGAACTTATTTTGAATTAATTGGCCATTTGAGCTATGCACGAAAACTTATTATTTTTAGTATTAGGTGGCATGTGCAAACTTTGTGAACTTTCCTTATATACTAAAAAGAACTATACTAGGCTTACTAGCTATTTAAGAATATATGTAGGTAATTTTTTGAAGAGGTAATTCCACGGTCCTTTGTTTTTTATGACAATTTCAAATTTAGTTCTAGATTATCATTTTTGCCACTTAACACCCCATACTATTATTTTTTGGACACTTTTAGTCCTTTTTAAGACTTTTCTTATTTTTAGTAAGAGCATTTTTGTCTCTTCATATTTTTCTGTTATTTTGCAGGTTTCAACCGTTTTAATTGGTTTAGGATTTTAGGCTAATTCTATGTCGGTTCTAATTGCTAGCTAGGATTCAATGAAGACTCAAGTCATTCAACTTCATCTGCTTCACCGCTCCTTCACAGTTCACCAGGCGAAGAACGAGAGTACGCCGTATATTTCATCTCTGCAGCGAGGTTAACTTTTTATGCCAATGATTCTTATGCAATCAATGGATGATCCTTCGAAAACTTGTTAGGAATACGACAGTACTCTTGTTCTACGCATGATGAACCTATGAAGGAATAGTGAAGCAAATGAAGTTGAGTGACTTGAGTCTTCAATTGAATTCTAACAATTAGAGCCAACGTGGAATTAACTTAATGTTCTAAACCAATTAAACCAGTTGAAATTGGCAAAAAAAAAAAAAAAAAAAATGAAGAGACAAAAAATGCCCTTACTAAAAATAAGAAAAGTCATGAGAATGACTAAAAGTGTTCAAAAAATGATAGTCGATGGTAAATGACAAAAACGATAGTCTGGGACTAAATTTAAAATTGTCACAAAAGACAAAGAACCTATGGTGAAATTAACTCTTTTTTGAAACAAATATATATATATATATATATATATATATATATATATATATATATATATATAATCCTTACATAAATCCGTTGATATTTCATTGTTTTGTTGAAGTGAATAATGTTAGCTAGATAGGTTCGATAAATGTTTTAGCATATCTAAATCTCTTAATAATCTTATACTTATTTTATTTTATTAAATCTACATATGTGCTTTAAAAATAATACTTAAAAAAACTATTTTAAAAAAAACATTTCTTTATTAGAATTTACATTGCACCAATTATATATTTGATGAGTTCCGATCCCATATGAGGCTGTGTGAGACATGCAAATTCACCAATTTAACGCTGAATTTCATGAATGTTTTGGGAATTGAATATTAGTTTAAAGCTATTTATTAGTTAAACAAGTTAAACTCTATTATATATATTATATAGAGAGAGATCTTGGTAGGAAACTTGTTAACCTTTTATAGTTGTAAAACTGTGTATGCCCCACCAACTCTGGTGATGACATGACATATCGTGGTACTAGGATCCTGCAGGATATATGGGGTGGACCTTAACTTCTGCTAAACCTCGATCTACTATACATTTCTTCATTTCTTTTTTACTTTTTGCCTTTCCTCAAACAAACATTAATAGGGATATGGAAGTAATTGCAGATATAGGAAAAAGGGTGGTTTTAGTTCATAAATTATAATTGAATAATTTCAGTCCTTAGTTGTTTAATGTTGACATGTACATACAATTTTTAAAGTTTTAAAGTGTTGTGTGATTTTGGTCTTTTTAAAATAAATATAATAAGAAAATTAAAATTAAAAGAATTGTGAAAATGGCACACTCACCTAATTTATTTGATATTTTTGTAATATAATTAAAATCTCAAATGCTCGACTTCTAATAAAAATATCATTTAAACTGTTTATTTTTTTACTTTCTTATCGATGTGAGTCCAAATGAAACTCAACTCTAATAATTCTTCTTTAAAAGATGTTGTATTACCACCACTAGATGGCCATATATAGATGCCACCCATTGTTACTCCCCACAGCTTGAACTTTCATGCATGATAGTTAACAATGAATCACTCTCAACCTCCGGATTCCTCTACCGTACCATTCTTCCCCTCTCGTTTGAGCATCACAGCAGTAGCGAGTTTTGCATTTGCAAGTCAAAAGCACATAATACTCTGGTCGTAAATCGCAAGAACTATTCTCGATTTCGTTCATATTTATCCAACTTAAATTAAAAGTATTCGTACGACATTGTTGTCTTACTTCCACTTTGGAACCACAAAGTCCAACAACCATCTCTCCCAACATATTGCTAGTCCATAATGATGGTCCAAAACTAAGCAGTCAAACTTGTGGCAACTCTAATCTTATACTTCCTAGCTAGTCATCTTATACTTGGGTTGGGCTTTTTGTGCGCAGAAATGTATGATTTGGTGTTGAGTCTCATTACTAGATTGGCTAGATTTATCTTTTCATGAGCCTGAGACGGGTTCATGGGATTTAGGATACAGTCCGACGAAGTTGAGAAATCTGATTCATAAAAAAAAAATGATAAAAGCAAGAATTTAGGAATTAATAATTTCTTCTTTTCGATCACGTTCTTGGGTGAAGCTTAGTAGAATGTCAATATGTTATACCGGTTCTTCATCAACTGACTAGGTTGAGGAATGCCATTGAGACCCCTCATTTAAGCTCATGAAGCATATCTTTTAAGTTGATTAATTTCTCATATTATTGGATTTAGTAGAAAATTTTAGAGTTTTTGAATTACAATTTAATTGTTGAGGCCTTAAAATAAACATTTTTCATAACTAAGAAAGATTTAAAAAAAAAAAAAAAAAAAAAAAACACAACATGGTTAATATATAATTAGTCTATACATGCTCATGTTGAACAATTTGATACTAAAATTGTTATTTCATTTGATGAGTGACCAATTTTCCTTTGTCATGGTTCATTGGTTGATAAGTGAGGTTATGGGAATTTGACTTCGAGATGGTAATCAAAGTTTTACAACTTTTTTGCGTCATTCACAAAGACATTGAGGTTTTTGGTAAATAGTCGTTAGCTAATTGAGTTAGTGAGTTTAATTAATTGATAACATTAGTTGATTGTAACTTGGTGGTGTGATTGGGTGGAAGGGACTCATCCATCCTTAACCAAAGGTCAAGGGTTTGATCATTAGCTTTGGGAATGGAGAAACCTTAAATTTCCAAGTCAGCTGTTCCACGATCGAATTGAGCAGTTTTTTGAATGCTAAGCTAATTATGTTACCAAACAGGACGGTTGTCAGTGTTGAAGTTAAAATATTCACTACTACATATCACATCAATTTCACGAATAACAAATCATAATCATCTTATTAACAAATTAACAGATGGGTAACTATGTCTAGTGGATTGAAGTAGGTTTATTTGGATGCTTAATTAATTAGCTAGTTGATCAGGTAAAGAAGATTAGATCAATTCAAGAACAAATAGGTTATGATAATAAAGGTAATTGATTCTCTCGAGTATAATGAAATAACACCCTGGCCTGAAGATGGTTTTATAGTGAAATGATTCAACCATAAAATAAAGGTTATTTATGGCTATTGAAGAATGCTGTGGGTGCTGTGTTGAATGAAACATAGGATTTTATGGTTGAAAGTGAACAACCTTTGTTTTGTTTAACCTTACACCAAAACTCTTATAAAGAGTCACATTTATCCCACCAAAACTATAAAGTACTTATTGGCTACAATATACTTGGTTTAGATAAGTCTTTACACCTTCTAAATTTTAGAAGAATTAAAATGCTGGTGTCTACAAGGAGCCCACCATATTAGATGTAATTCCGACTGTCGTGGCTCGATCTTGTATTCTTCGGCCCCACAATCTATCAACCATGAAACAACTGAACTGTCTGTGCAGGCAACACTCAAGATTTCTACACATGATTATCTGATGCCATTTTGCAGTCTCATCAATCTGTCTATATATATACACTTTGATGAAAAGTGGAGACCATGGAATAACTATTGGATTCAATTTTAGATCCAAATTGTGTAAAGATGTTCTATATATCCTCCTAAGACGCTGCAAACTCATGCTCTGATCTAACATATGATTTTCTCCCATATTATGGATCTAATAAACAAAAGACCAGCCTAAATTAAACTGATGATGTTGTTTCATCCATATATAGAATCCCATGTACTTGGACCAGTCCTGTATGATTGTCTCTCTTTGTGTGTATTATTCCTGTGGTGATTTTTATGGATGTTTATATGTAGCTCTAACAAGACAATACAGCGGTACATGAACAATGCCAAGAATTTGGGACAGTACAAAAAATCAAGTGAAACAAGTTTGCAGGTGAACATACAATGCTTTTAATTCTTATTTTTCTGCAAAAATAGGAAGATTTTATGCTTTAAAGAGATTGTTATGATTAAGGAGTCTGTATGTAAACCTTGTTGACAACTGTACTGAACTGCTTACTGCTTTTTCTGCAGCACGTAAAAGAAGATGGTGTTGCTGCAATGAGTAAAAGGGTTGAGGTTCTTGAGCAGTCCAAAAGGTTTTCTGTTTGTTTTTTCTTTGATAAGTTTAATGTTTATGATGTTTTTATGCTTACTTTCATGTGTTTCCCACCAAGCAGTAAGCTTTAATTTATTCACAGAAAGCTTTTGGGAGAAGGCTTGGATTCCTGCTCCATTGATGATCTACACCAGATACAAGAACAGCTGGTCATAAGTTTAAGGAACATTAGGGAAAGAAAGGTGCTAACATATTATATCCTACACATTGATAGTTAATTTATATAAACATACTAACAATATATATTTTTTTAAATTTGATTTAGAGTTTATTATGTAAGCAACAAATTGATCGACTCAGAGAAAAGGTAAACCTCATCAGACACATATACATACATAAATATACTCATGGAGCTTATGTGTTGTGGGTGGATTATATTTTCTCATACGAGCAATTAATATGATGTTTCAGGAAAAAATATTGGAGGAAGAAAATGCTGAATTGAAAAAAAGGGTAAGAAAATGGTGAATTTTTTTGCAATTTGATTGATTTATTGGGTGATGAAAGTGTTGATTTTGTGCAATATAAATTGCAGCTCGCAGTATCTGAACCACAAAGGCTATACACCGATGTGGAGACACGCTTATTCATTGGGCAGCCGGAAACCAGGCCACCGGCGGGAGACCACAATAAATGATCGCCGATCCAATAAATTAAGCCAAGGAGATTGGGTCGCTAATAGTTACGATATATATTTAGTCTTTCAATCCAATTGTATAAATTTAATCCTAAATTTTTAACAAAACAGTGGATATATATAGCCGGTGCAATTGAGGTGACCTCGGGTCACAGAGAATAATGCACATCCGATCCGTAGCTAGTAGGAGTCACACACTAAGTACAAAATGAGTAATCTGCATATGAAGTAAATGGCAATTTGCATCTAATATACTTCAGACGCGTATGCAACTATGCAAACCTGAATAGGGCTTGAGATGTATGTAGGTAGTTCATGGTTGAGTCGAGTATATGATAGTTGGACTGTACTAATCAAAGTCTGGGATGTAGGAGATTTTATACACATATTTCATGATGTATATAAGTCTTGGATCGAAGTTCTATTATGCATACTTTCAAATTCTACTTCCTTACTTGTGCTCCATGAGGTGACAAACAAAGATTAGTTATTTTCATCATGTGATATATAAGTGTCTACTTTAAGAACATGTGAGATGGAGTATAAAATTGCAGTATACCAAGTACTTCCTGTATATCTTAAACGAAGACCATGCAAATGTACCTAAGTGGTCAAGAAAGTGTGAACCATTAAGTCCAGTGATTAGATCCAACCACTTTAATAAGCTAGAATTTATGAATTAAGTCTACACCGTAAATAATATAATTTAGTAATTGACCTTCTCATTTTCAATCGAGAAAATGAACTAAATAGAAAAGATGTAATTTCCTAACTTTCAGTCAAACAGAAAAATGTAATTTTTTTTTTATCTTCAGCTAAACACTTAAAAATTAAATTATTTTTCAAAAAAAATGAGTCATTTTCTCGAAATTATTTTTCGAAAAATATGTTTCAAGTTTCCAAATAGACCCTAAAATCAAGTATGATTATATTGCATTTTCTCCCATGGTTCAAAGAAATATGTAATTAATTATTATTTTTGTATGTATATTTTTTGTTTGTTTGTTAAAAGCAACAGGTTAAACTGCATTAAGGGGCCTTTGGCCCCTTCTCCCTACCAAAAAAAAAGTTAAACTGCATTAATGAAGAAATAACGGAATAGAATCCGGAGGGACCTAAAATCAAATATGATTATATTGCATTAATTATTATTTTTGTATGTATATGATTTAGAAGATATTTATATATTGTATAGTTTGTATTTCCATTATTATTATTACTATTATTATTTCGTTTGGTTTTGCTTATGTCCTACTCCAACCTAAATCTTGAACCAAACATGAGATATTTTTTGTGAGGCTGTACTATTCCATAATAATTTACGTGTACGATACTCAACTATCTTAGCTACTACAAACTCAATTATCAAGCCATCCTGACTTTAATTTCTTCTATAAACTCCCAAAAATTAATTATTTTAGTTTCGCGATCGATTTTAAGAATTTTGGTTAACAATTAATTTGATCTAAAAATTTATTTTATCAAATTAATTGCACATGCATGCATACACATATATAGAGGAAATACTTTTGTGGCTCTGTTTGGCAAACATAGCTGAAAAGCTATAAGTTAGGAGCTGAAAGTTAAAAAGGAGCTGAAAACTGAAAAGTTTTAAGCTTGGAGCTGTTAAGCTAGCTGTTATGATTGAAAGTGTTTGGTAAAATTAGCTTTTTGATAAACTGATAAATGTAAAAAGACTAAAAATGACATCTTCATAAAATTTAAATTAGTTTGTTTACATATTAAAATTTAACATTTTGTCTTTAAAAAAAATAACATTTTGAAATAAAACTATTAGCATAATCATGATCTAGTATCTTATAATGAAGTAACAATATTGTTGCAAATCTCATCATAATAATAATAATAATAATAATAATAATAATAATAATAATAATAATAATAATAATAATAATAATAATAATAATAATAATAATAATAATAATTGCGGTGAAAGTTGCGGATAAAGGAGAAGAGAAAAAGATTTTAATTGGAAAGGGTAAATTATGTCATTTCTTTAAAATAATAAGGATAAAGATGGAAAAAAAAGTTAGGAAGCTAGTAGCTTATTTTGGAACACTACCAAACAGAGCTTATAGCTTATTAGTAGCTTAAAATAAGCTCTGCCAAACAGAGCTATCGATGCCTCCTGTAGGACAATGAAATGCCCAATCTCAAGTAGTTTACCCCTTTTTTTACTAGGAAATACATTAATACACTCATATCTAAAAAAAAAAAAAAAAAAAAAAAAAAAAAAAACTCATTATCAGTCTTCTCATCTCTAAAGCACAACTTCAGCGGAGGACAATATAACTGGACATCAGGTTTACGATATGGTGAATTTTTCATTTCTCTAAGATATTTTAAAGATGTTTGTTCTTGAGAAGTTTGAGGAAGCGCGTCAGATTTCTAATAGGACGAAATTGGTTAGTTGTAAACTTGACACTTTTCTATAATCTCCTGATTCATACATTGGGGCATTAGGCAAGGCTCACCAAAATAAAAGAGATTAAATATGTATTTAAAGTTGGAATGCAGATGAATGGTGTCAAACCAAACACGTCAAGATATAAAACTACGCACATTAAGTTATAAAATCATGCACCTTAAGGTATAAAATAACGCACCTTAAGAAGAAAATAACGCACCTTAAGAAGGAAAACAACGCACCTTAAGAAGGAAAACAACGCACCATAAGAAGGAAAACCACTCATCTAAAGCTTTAGGCCAACGCACCATAAATTTCAACAACCGACGCACCTTAAACACACAGACCACGCACCTTGAGAAGAAAAATCACGCACCTTAAATTTGACCTAGATGCAAAAATACCAAATTGACACCGCGGTTTTTAATCCTTATTAAATATTAATCATGAACGTTGATCTTAGTAAGATCAATGGCTCTCATCTCACCCCATGTTCGCACCTGAGCACACCATTCGCATTTGATCCGTTATATATATATATATATATATATATATATATATATATATATATATATATATATATATATATATATATCATGGTTGCAATAGGCGTTAGGCGCTAGTCGGGCGGTAGACTAGCGCCTAGCGCCTAGACGGCCTAGGCGGGGCCTAAGCGGTCGCCTAGGCGGCTAACTGAAAAAATGAAAAACAGTGTACGTGTGTAGGTGCATATATGCCATATTATACATACATACATACATACATACATACATACATATATACATACACACACACACACACACACACATATATATATATATATGAAAAAAATTGGCAAGGTCGAGTCGGCCGGGTTAACTCGGCTAACTCGACAGAAATTGACGAATTAACTCGGCGTAATCGGCCGAGTTAGGCGCTAGGCGGCCAAATTAGGCGCTAGGCGGGCGCCTAGGCGGCCGGTCTCCTAAGCGGGAGGCCTAGGGGCGCCTAGCGCCTAGGCGCCGATTACTCGGTGCCTAGGCGGGATTTTTGCAACTGTGATATATATATATATATATATATATATATATATATATATATATATATATATATATATATATGATAGAATAATTACGGATGGATTCGGAGCGAACCAGACCCGAGACACCGAACCCAATCCGGACCCGGCCAAGCAAACCACGAGGGGTCGGCCACCCCGGGGTCAGCTACCCCTCGGTTGGCTACTTGGCCAAGCCCCGTGCTCGGCCAAAAGACGGGTCCTCGCGTGGAGCGAGTCTTGCGGCGGCAGTTGCGGTCCAGGCAGCTCCAACCGAGTTCTCCGGGGTTGTTGCGAAGACATGGCCTATAAAAGCACTCATTTGTGTCCTAATGAGACATCTTCTACCTATTATCTAAATTTGTCTTGTTATTACACGTCTCGTACCTCTGTAATAGCATTTTATACGCGATTAATACAATATTCGTCCCCATAACGTATATTCGTGCCTTATTATCGTTATATTACTATTTACACCGATCCAATCCTTATTTGTCATAATTCATTCATACATTCGGGTTATATAATTCGGACCCCGGGTTAATATAATCAATCAATATATATGTATGTATATATATATATATATATATATATATATATATATATATATAGACACACACACATAAGGTGACCTAAATATAAAACATGCTAACCTAAATTAGTCTACCGTAAAAGGCAACAATGCATGTGGATCAATGGAGTACAGTTAGTAAAGCATGATAAAGGCACATAACGTATTAACATATGATAGTATCTGATCTGTACAATTAACAAACATACCAAACTGGATATCATGGGAAGGATATAAAGACAGGCATAGCACCATTCATTCATGGCCAAAAACAAACTAAACAATTTAATGTCTGGTTCGACCCACCTATATGTCTTATCACTATATATCTTGTATTATTGCCACAATAATTATTTGCCTAACCCTTTGCCAATTGGCACACCTATTATGAGATGTTTGGTAAATGGCTGTTAGCCGATTGGATTAGTAGGTTTGATTAATTGATAAATTACTGATTGTAAAAAAGTATTTGGTAAATTAGCGGTTAGTTATTAGCTATTTACATATAAAATGACTTTCTCAAAAAGCTAATCGACAAAGCTACTTTAAACAACTTTTTGAACTTTAGCATTTTGGAGCAATAAGTTGTTGCAAAAAACTAATTAATCAAACACTCATATTGATTGTTTAATCAAGTCAAACAGCTAATAGTGTTCAAATAAGTCAAAATTGACTGATATGCTAACTATTTTACTAAACAGGACCTAATTCACCTTCATTTTTTTTAGTGACAAAAGAAATTCATAGTTACAGTCTGAGTATGTGTTAAATAAACTCTATTCTTATATAATAATTTTTAAATTACTTTAAAAAGATAAAATTCACTAAAATATTTTATATAACAAATTCGATTATGAAGATGTTAACAAGAATCATATTCGTGCAATAATAATAAGTAAATGTTCGAATTTTGACAGCAGCAGTGTGATGATTATGTTCAAAGTGGATATATTATATCCCTTATGCGAATCAATATTTAACCATGTCTGTTAAGTCATTGAAACACTGAGATTTACATCCTTCAAATGCTCTATCGAGTCGAATTATGAACCTTTAGATTGGGGATTAAACTTCTGGAAGAAGTAAAGAAGAAGCTACGTGGAGTAGGGTAAACAGTGCAAAACGTCAATTACGTATTGATACAGCAAGGAATCCGGAATCCACACGCGACTAAAACCGTCATTAACCATGCACTCTCCTAAAGTCGGCTAATTATTTTTTAAATTTATTATTATAGCGGCGCAGGAATTTCTATTTCTTTTTTTTTTTTTTCCCAATTATATAACGAATTTAGTCAATTTTTAGTAGTGAAACAAAATGTGTGACCAAATTTAGGTCGTGAATACTAACTTCCAACTCTACCCCTTCTACGACCCAAAGCAATATAATAAAGTCAAAAGTCGTTTTGAACGTGACAGTTATAGTTTAAGTTGTTAAATAAGTTGTTTTTTTTTGGGTATTTAATTAAGCTTTAACAAGTAAAAAAAAAGTGTTATTTAATATAATTATAATTATTATATTATTATTATACAAGAACATTTTAATCTTTATTTACTTATTTATTTATTCCCTTTAAATTTATAATAATTTTATTCTTTCTTACCAAATAATGTAAAATTCATAGTTTAATCATTTTTCACATAATTATACTTTTTTTTTCCCTTTAATTATCTCATTCTAACCAAGTGCCGGTTAGAGATTTTCATTTATTATTATTTATTAGCTGCTGATTTTATGGTGTTACAAATGTATTTTTAATAGTTTGCCATAGATAAAATTGTAAAATGGTCCCTAATTTTCAAGGTTCTTGAAAATCTAAACAGCTGCACTGTAACCCAATTTCTACATTTCTCTGTAATTATCTCTCACGCACCAGTTACACACACTAGTACACGTATGAAACACTGCCTTTAAAGTAACACCAACGTTAGATAATTTAAGCAAAGCAAACATACAATCCAAAGAAGCAACCATTTCCTAAAAAGGCAACCAATCTCCAGCAAACTACCTAACAGAGTCTTTTCTTATACTTTGACATTCAGAATTTCAGATTGCCTGCAATCTTGGAGTTGAACACAGAAGAGAGAGAGAGAGAGAGAGAGATTCAAGCTTCAGGGCAAGGAAGTTAGGAAGATATGGGGACTTTATCTGCCTCTCTTGTGCTTCCAGCAAAGCAAAAATCTGAGCTTTTCTACAGAACCAGGAAAAGATCCAGGAACAGGAAGCCCCAATCCGTTGTTCCTGTAAATCTCTCTCTTCTTTTCAGTTCTTGTGAAATTTCTTGGAGATAAATGGTTAAAGATTGGATCTTTTTTTTTTCTTTTCTTTACTTTTTCTTTTTGGTGGTTCTAATTGATGATTTTCCTGTTTGTTGGGTTGATGTTTAGATGGCCAGGTTATTTGGGCCATCCTTATTTGAGGCATCAAAGCTAAAGGTTCTATTTTTAGGAGTTGATGAAGAGAAGCACCCAGGAAAGCTTCCAAGAACTTACACACTTACACACAGTGATATCACCTCTAAGCTCACTCTGGCCATCTCTCAAACAATAAATAATTCCCAGGTATATAATAATACTATTGCCCAGACACTAAAAAAGGAATATATTCTCTCTCTCTCTCTCTCTTTCTCTCTCTTGATGTATCTTTCTTGATTTGTATTGAATCTGTAAACAGAGAGAATAAGATAAAATTTTGGGTTCTTCTAAGAAACAAATTAAATCTTTGGTTTGCAGTTACAAGGTTGGTATAATAGGCTGCAAAGAGATGAAGTAGTTGCAGAGTGGAAGAAGGTGAAGGGGAAAATGTCACTTCATGTTCATTGCCACATAAGTGGAGGCCATTTATTGTTAGATTTATTTGCTAGACTTAGGTACTACATCTTCTGCAAAGAACTTCCTGTGGTAAGTTGTGCATTAATTTTTTTTTGTTTTTTAGATTTCTTTTTTCTTGAATTAGAAAATAGAAATCTTTTGATTTGATCTGTTTTTGTTTTGGTTTTGGATGATGTGAAGGTTCTGGAGGCGTTTGTTCATGGAGATGAGAATTTGCTGAATAATTATCCAGAATTGCAGGAAGCTTCTGTCTGGGTTTACTTCCACTCAAACATTCCGGAATTCAACAAGGTAGAGTGCTGGGGCCCACTAAAGGAAGCGTCTTCCACCGGTGGTGGCGGCGGCGGGCCCCACTCCAGCAAGAAAAGCTTAGCAAGCAACCGGGACGTGCCACAGCCTTGCCCAGAATCTTGTGATTGTTGCTTCCCTCCAATGAGTTTGATTCCTTGGTCCTCATCCTCACACGACCTCTCCGGGCCCCCTCCCCCTCCGTCCACTCTCCCGGGAGTGGGTCTACCCCGCCAGCAATGAGATTCGGGGGGAAGGCGGAGATGGAGAAGTAAATCACAAGATGTGTTTCAATGATTTATGCCGCTAGTATACTGGTGGCTAAACTAAACTAAACTCCAGTAGGTGAATTATTACTTCATCTTGTGTAGTAAAAACACACACATATATATATATAGTTCAACATGTAAATAATACTATGCTGTAAATTTTAACCTTTTTTTTTTTTTTTTTTTTTTTAATGTGTGCTGTTTTGTGTTTGGAATTTATTCTTTGGACAAGACTGCTTTTCAATGGAATCTGGTTTACCAAGAACTTGTTATTATAAAATTATTACAATAGTATGGTTCAGCAAGTCATTAAGGATATAACTTACTTACAAAAGAATAGCACTCAACAGTGCTACATATTGATGATCCGTACAATACCAACTCTCTCTCTCTCTCTCTCTCTTTCAATTGCTATTTTACAGAATGTCAGGGAAAGGTTAATGAGGGTTGATGATGATAACTTCTCCCACTGTACAGTGTTGATGATGATCCAAAGGGTAGAGTCAAAAAAACAGTAGTATTTGGGAAGGTGACAGAGATGGTCACCTCTGAGGTTGAAGCCTTTGAATTGAGCTTCCCTTGTTTAAGTTACACCCTCCAGTTGAATAGAACAAAAGCTTTCGATTCTCTATAATGAAGCAAAAAGTGGGAAATTTTTTTGATGAAGATGTCACCGGATTTGAGTTCTGCCAAGACAAGATGATCCGATTTCACTCTCCGTGTTCTGCATCAAAAATTTGGTCCATGTGAGGTGCTGTGTCTTTAACATAGTAGTGAAATGTGAGTTTCTTGAGAAAGGGGATAATGTGACACATCAAAGATCACATTTTTATGTCTATAACATTTACCTGAGATTTAGGGGAAGGAAACACATTCCAGAAGCGGAGTGTCTCATCTCCTGCTCCAGTCACAATTGTCTGCACAATCACAAACGTATAAAGATAAAGAAAACTTCTTATGTAGAATGAGCGAGCTGAGAAGTGGAGTGATGGAAAAAATCAAGGAGCATGTTTGATTATATTACCTGACCATCAGGTGAGATGGCTAGGTACAGGACCCTATATGTGTGCCCCGTCAAGGTTGCTATCTGGATTTACAAGAGGGAAAAGGTAAAGAACAATTTGGTAAAAGAAACGCCTTTATGTAGGTTGCTATCTGGATTTACAAGAGGGAAAAGGTAAAGAACAATTTGGTAAAAGAAACGCCTTTATGTAGGTGGTAATCGAAGTCCACTGGACTTTTTAGGAAACACTACCTTTGACATTGTAGGATATCTCCAAACTATTATTTGGTTCTGAGAGTACCCATGTGTGCTGACCAATTCATTCACATTCTTAGACCATACAAGGTTGCAAACCTGCCAGATATAATAGCAAATACACCTATTAGTTAATCTACTAACCAGTCTCGGTGAATCTTAGCAAGCAAACAAGTCAAAAAGAACATCACACCAATTTCAGTAAATCATGGTAGCATACAACAAATTTAGAATGATTATGTTGCAATCTTGAGCATATTTTTTCGTATATTGTTGAATAATCATCTAACAAATTTAGAATGATTGTGTTGACGTGCACATGCATAACTATGCAAATATTCATGCACTTGGATCAACAATTATCGCTAGTTACTATTTCTTGTTCAATGTAGAAGATATCATTTGGTTATTGATAAATTTGTCATACAATCCCTCCAATTAGGAAGTTTGTGAATTTCCAACTAGGAGTATGATACCATGAATTTGATAGTTACTATTTAAGAAAATGGAGCCCAAGCATACTGTTTAATAAGTTACTAAACAATATGCATAAGCAAATTGTCGAAATATTTCCCACAATATTGATAAACCTAATTGATGATAAGCTTATCACCTGGCTACCAGTGTCCATGCAATTCAAATGAGTATTAGTGGCAGTATTCCAGAAACGAATGCATCGGTCAGCTGTGCCACCACCAGAAGCAAGAAGTCCATGAAGATGGGGTGACCATGCAATTGCTTTTACAGCAGCAGTGTGCTCACAATATTTCAGCACAGGTTGTGTTGAATGGTTGTTCCATACAAAAAGCTATCCAGGAAAAGATTCAATCAAGAGCCATTCTTTTTTATTTTTTATTTATTTTGAGGTAATTAAACATTAAACATAAAGCAAACATTAAGTGCATACTCTATTATCATTCCCACCAGATGCCAATTCACGGTTGTCATATGACCACTTCAGTCCACAGACCTAAAATCCAATAAATTTGATATCATGATGTTAAAAAATAACTTAGGAAAATTAATCTTCCAGATGGCAATAAAAATAGAAAGATGAATAGATCATATATTAAGAAAAGAGCTTGACCTCTGACTTGTGACCACTTAGCTTGCTGACGTAATCATCTTGAGCTCGTATATCACGTTGAAGAATGCTCTTGTCACGGCTTCCTGAAGACAACACAGAAGAACTCCAAGCTAGTGCCCCAACCCGTAATCGATGTCCCTCCATGGTTCTTATTCTCTTACACCGAGATGCATCCCATATCTAACCAGACAATATGCATAATGACTTAATAACATGCTAATGGACCTTTAATCTAAAGAAAGGGTGAATCTTTATGAATATTATGGTGTTAAAGGAGCACAATATTGTTGGTGTTTTCTTATGTAGACACATGCCACCCAAATAAATTAGTAAATAGGAGTAGAAAAAAATGTTCATGGTTATGACAATATATCCCCTATTAAGCTATAGGCCGAGGACCTCAATGAAAAGCATCTATATGACTATTAGAAAAATAAGATGTCAACACAAACAGGGTACACTAGAGAAGTTCTCTTAGAAAATCAGAAAGAAGAAAAGTGCAAGGACAAATAGACAGTGAAGTCCAAGGATACTCGGCTAATTCAATCGCTTAACTTATGCATTAAATCACTAAGAGAAGAATCCTCCTATGAAAAGCTTGATATTTAAACCTGAACTTTTCCGTTGCTAGTTCCGACTGCAAGATGTGTACCACGCTGTGCCCATCCAACCGAACTGACACTGTCATCAATTCCCAAATCGCACAGCTTTACTACCTGAATATATTGCACATTAGCAAAATCAATATAACTAAGTGAAATTCGGATTCCAACTGAAAGGGTGCAGCAGGAAACAAAGAACTCACTTTGCTACTCGAAGCATGCCATAAATATACACAATTTCCCAACCCAACAGCCAAAACATTGTGAGAAGACCAGTCCACAAGGTTTAGATAAAAATCATCTTGCAATGCAGGCGCATCCAATACCTAATCAAAGCCAAGCATTCAATTTCAGACCATAAATTTCCAAATTAGTACCACAGTAAAGAAACCCCAGATCAAAGACTTCACCTTGAAAGGAGATCTGGGCACCTTCCTGGGAGCCTTGACAGGGCTAGGACTAACACCGGGGAGCTGATCATCAAACCCAAAAGGGAACAAAGAATGCATAGACTTGCGGGTCTCAGTTTTGTAACGGAATATATTGCAATTGGGAGGATTACTGTGCAAATTACGGGCAGAGCTTTCCGGCGTCAAAGGAGGCAACACCGCCCCGGAATCAGGACCAAACAACGCCGCCCGCAAGAGCGTGGTGTAGGCATTGCTGGAATCTTCGGAGGAGGAATGCGGCGGCAGAGAGACATTGAAAAGCTCAAATTTTGAGGAAGATCTGCTGGGGATGAAACGGTCGCCGTAGATAGTCCGCGACGGTGAGGCGGAATTGATCCCGGAAACAACAAGATGGGTCCGCGATGGGGTCTTGGGATTGAAACTGTTGAGCTCAGTGGAAGAAGATGAAGGTTGGTGCGTGTCTATGGAGGGTGATGTGTGGTTGTCCATACCTAATCGAGCTTGCTTGGGCAGAGAGAGATGGAGAAAACCCTAGGACAGAGAAAGTGATGACGATTAATGGCTGAGAAATTAAGGAAAAAGGAATTGGAAAGAGGTTAGTTTGTTGCTGTTAATGTACAGTAAATCTCCCGGGAAATTCAATAACCGAAAGAAAAGCGTTGCGCGAAAACTTTGTGGGGTCCAATATGGATTTCGGGCCGGGCCCGTTTCAGCCCATCTTTCATCTTCTAAATGAAGTTGGATTGGGCTTGTGGGTAACCTTGTTTTCAATACTCTCGGCCTGCTCCTTTTATTTTATTTTATTTTTCAATGTCTTACTTTTGGATATTTTTAAGAAAAAAACGTTTTTTTTCTTCAAAATAATAATAATAATAATAATAATAAAGAAAGAAAACGGTTATACTAGCAGAGGCTAAGCCACTCTAATAATATCAACTTCAACTATGAGAAGTTGTTTTAATTCGGTCCTTTATATCCTCAAATAAATGATGATATTATTGCGAGCTTTTAATTTAGACTTTAGTCATTAAGTTGTGCTCGCAATAATTGTTTTTTTTTTTTTTTTTTTTGAGAATACAAATTATATTTCAGTGATGGATTTGGTAACAAACTCCTACCGTTAGGTACCTAATTAATATACTACCGTTAGGTACATAAGTTTGGGAAGTTTGGGAAGAATATACTATTTCTTTAAGAATGTAGAGATTAAATTTACCTAAATCTATATCAAAATCACAACTGGAAAAAATGGTTTCGAAGGTTATGGTAGGAAAAAAAAAAGATTTATTTAGGAAGTAACCTCAGCCAAATTGATTGGGCAGTTGATCGATTTAGTAATTATAAAATTTCAAGTTTTGACTTCCTAAAAAAAATTACTTATTGGAGCTGATTTACTTGAGGTCTGTGATATATATATATATATATATATATATATATATATATATATATATGGTCCATATAAACTTTTATTGACTTAAAAGTCTATATAAAAAATATTCATAAATTTTTATTAATTTTTATGAACTTTGTTTTTAAAGTCTAAAGTCATTAAAATTCTAAATTGAATACATCTTTACAAACTTTCAATGATTTCAATTCTTATTATACATATAATTTTCATATAAAAATGTTTTAAATACATCATAAAATTCTTCTTCTAGTTCTTCATCCACATCAACATTCTTACCGTTATTATTTCTATTCATAGTACGATGAGACATTATATGCTAATTACTTATATAGTATTGATGTGATAATAAATACACTTAGGTATACAATTAAGTTTATGTAGTGTTAATATGTGAGCTCGGGAGTAAATGATGGTGGATCAGAGGTTCGCGCGCTAATATGGGTTGGGTCCAAATCCAAAAGTCTCCCTCCACCAAGTA